GGGGTTTTGGGGGGAGGGGGGAATAGGATTCAGTGCAGATACAGAACAGAATTTAGAGGCTCCAGAGAAAACTCTCTTTTATGCCTAAAATGCTAAGGCCCTTTCGGGAGTGGATTTTCCCCCCCACTAGACTGAACTGCATGGCGGAGCAGAAAGTGCTTGAGCTTCGGAGTCCGGCAGCTCTTGTTTCAGCCCGAGTCTTATAACTTGCCATTTGGCCTTGAGAGAATAGCTCAACCTCTCCGAGCCTGGGTTTTCTCTTCTGGAACATCAAAGCTAAGTTTGCTATAAAGTAGTCTTGTCAGGCTCGAGCGAGAGGACGTTCGCCGACGCCTTTGGCCTGTAGCAGGTGCACAGTAGACGTTAATTGTCCCTGCCTTCCGGTTTTCCTCGCTGAACTCAGAGCTAAATTATATCAATTCTTTTTTAAAAAATGAAGTTAAAATTTTTTCTTTATTTTCTACAAAATCTATTTGAAATTAAATAAAGTATGAATTCTTGAGAAAGAACAGGCCAACCTCTTTGGAGGGAAGGCAAGGAATGAGAATTTCCGGAAAGCTTACTCGTGTCTCGGCCGGAGAAAGTTATCCCACTTTGTGGGGCGTTTAAAAAGATAAATTATTGTGTTTTTTTTATGCTTTAATCATAGGGCTCGGTCACACTATTTCACATCTACAGTCACTTAAAGATATCACTGACCATGTGCCCAACTAAAAGCTGTGTAGTCCTTAACATTTCAGTGACTNAGACCGTGTGCCCAACCAAAAGCTGTGTAGTCCTTAACATTTCAGTGACTCTGAGTTTGTGTTGCTCTGGGATCCCTACAGACAGAAGACCCCGAGTAAAGTAAATGTCCTTTCTTCNGACCATGTGCCCAACTAAAAGCTGTGTAGTCCTTAACATTTCAGTGACTCTGAGTTTGTGTTGCTCTGGGATCCCTACAGACAGAAGACCCCGAGTAAAGTAAATGTCCTTTCTTCAGTGCACCCGGGTTCTTCTTGAGTAACATTTCGGGCTTAGTTTGGGGAATACGTGACATGAGACAGTGAGTTTCGGGAAGTGTCCCTGTACAAGTATATGATCACATGTGGCTGGAAATACATGATTTTGGGGGACTGATTGTTAATATTACCCAACAGTTGTCGACAAACAAACAAAAAAAATGCTGTTGGTGGCATCCTCTGATTCCAAGCAATAGAACAAGTTGCTGGATAGATCAGGTATAATATCTCAGCTCCGCTTTCAGAATAAAGGGTAGTAGACTGGAGATGGGAGGAGCCTGGAGGAAGGGACCTCGTCAACTTGGTTTGCGTGGAAGAAAACCTCTAAGGATATGGCCTCGGTTTCCCTATGTTAGGAAACACTCAGAAAGTGCCTCACTTTTGCACAACTTACAAGTCGTGAAGTTGGCCTGTATCTAGTAAAAACCTGTAGCTCAATATCTCTGTATCGTTCAGGCACGCAGGTAGCTTGCTGGAACCTTTATTATTATTTTTTTTTTTTAATTCTTTTTTTAAAAATATATCTTCATTGATTTCAGAGAGAGGAAAGGAGAGGGAGAGAGAGAGAGAGAAACATCAATGATGAGAGAGTCATTGATCGGCTGCAGCCCGCAACCCGGGCTTGTGCCCTGACCGGGAATCGAACCCCGATCGCCTGGATCCTAGGTCGACGCTCAACCGCTGAGCCAGGCCCGCCGGGCGCTGAAACCTTTAAAAGTGAGAGTTGGAAGAGTTTTTATAGAACTGCGAAGACTAGGAAATCGTTTCAGAAGAGGTTAGAATGTCGTCCGGCTGCTTAACAGCAGGGCTCAGCCGGAACTGAGGTTCTCGGGTTCCCAGCCGAGGCCTCTTGTGTCCGCGCCCCTCCCTGACCGGCCCCATTACCCCTGTGAAGGCCCGGCTCCTTCAGAAACAGCTTTCTTAAAAATCAGCCATTCTCCACACCAAATCCAGCGGTCATTTTTCTGTAATTCTCCTGGAATCCGCTACAGCGTTCAACATCGTTGGCTAAGCCCTTTTTTTATTAAAACTTTCCATTGTTGGTTTCTATGGCATTGTATTTTTTTTGTGTGTTTTTTTGGGGTTTTTTTTTTGGTTTTCTTCTCTTGCTTTCTGGGCATTTTTCTTTCTTTCTTTTGTTCTCTGGATCTTTTTCCATTACCTGCCTTCTCGATACATGTGTTCACAGTTGCGTTGTGATGGCTTTCTCTCTCCCACCACACTCTCTACGCGACCGCTTGTGTGCCCTTAGCCGTGGCCTCCCCGTCGGTGACCAGCCGCTGGTCCGCAGGGCCCGGAGCACGCGAAGCGCCCGCGTGACAGGCAGCTCAGGGGCCCGCCCCCAGCACCTCTCACTCAGTGTCCTCACTGAAATCCCTCGTTCCTTCCCCATCGCTCTTTCCTCCCGCCCGTCGCCCTGCTTCTGATGGATTAATGCTTCCCGAGTCACCCGAGTTGGGAACCTCGGCGCTCCTGTCNTTGGGAACCTCGGTGCTCCTGTCCTATCCGTGTCCCCTCTCCCACCCCCAGGCCCGCCCGGGTTCCAGCCGGCCTCTCAGCTTCTGGCTTCTATGGTTCGTCCGCTCCACGCTCACCCCTCCAACCCCCGGCGCCTGTTCTAAGCTGTACGATGCTCCCGACCGAACCCTCCAGCTCTCCCGTCCCGTCGCCGGCCCAGTTTCCCGAAGCACAGCGCTAAGGCGTGTGACTCCCCCTCGAAGCCTTTGGTATCCCCGCCAAGCGTGTGGGCCCTTCCATGGCCACCGGCCGCCCCCGCCCCATCCACGCCTGTTCCTATTCCTTGATCTGCCCCTCACGCCAATCGAAGCAAACTGGCTGATGCTTGTCACACATAACCGGCTCTTCCGATTCCCCGGGTTGTCGTCCGGGTCGTTTCCTGCATCTGAAATGTCCTTTTTGCCAATTCTAGGACCGCAAAACTCACCCATCCTTCGCAGCTCTGCATACGTGTTACCTTTTCCACAAAGCGTACCCTGATCTCAGGCAGTCTGACCGACACCGTGAAGGACAGTCATTCAGCCCTGGCCGGTGGCGCAGTTGGTTGGAGCACCATCCTGTGCACCGAAGGGTCTTGGGTTCGAGTCCCGGTCATGGCACATACCCAGGTTGCAGGTTCAATCTCCGGTCTGGACAAACACGGGAGGCAACCGATCGATGTTTCTCTCCCACGTTGACATTTCTCTCTCTCTCCTCTACCTTCCTCTGTCTCTAGAGTCAACGAAAAGCACATCCTCAGGTGAGGATTTTTTTTAAAAAAAATTAGAAGATGGTCGTTC